GATTCTTTAAAAAAAAAAAAAGAAGAAGAAATAACTACTCATTTATTTACATCATAAATATTCATACCGAGCCATTATGGTTTCTGTGTCTTTTTTCTCTACAACATTTATTCAGATAAAATAACTTACCATATTTAAGATTGTTCACCTGTGTATTTTATTAAAAGACTGCTCAAGCTTTTGCTATGGCAAATTCCATTTATCAAATGGCCTGTTCTTTGAGTTTATGCTACAATTGAGGAGAGGAAAAAAACAGAATAACTTCTGATTCTGGTTGACAGGAGCTCATTTTGTAAGCATTACAAATAGATGCAAGCAAGCAAGCAGCATTTACCTGGAGCGAAAAGGAGATAAGTCCAGCTGGCAAGAGAAGGGAAATCTAATCAACAAATTACTCAGATGGATTTTTTTTTGGTCAATTAAAAGAAATTATTTGCTGCACTGACCTCCCAAAATAAAGCCTGGCTAAAGGATGACCAAAGAATTTCTGGCAGGAGATAATCAGCAACGATATTAATTTAATAGTCAGAGGCTGGAACAAGACAGATTGATTTATTGACTATATTTATGCAGGTTAGGCCTTTGAGCTTGCATGTTCATTTAAAAACAGCTCTGTCCTTATGGCACTGTAAAGAATGATCTTTTCTGAGGCTATTTTGCATCCAAGGTTAACACTGCTTTTGCTGCAGGATCCTCAAACATCAGGCTGCAGTTTGGGGAGGAGAAAAAAAAAACAGCATATTGATTTGACCTTATAACCTTTGCTAAACTTTAGTTGCTGCATACAAAGGTATATACCTGATGGAATTTCACAGGCCATCCTCAACTTGCATTTTTTCATCATTAGCTTTTTAAAAGGAAAGGACGGGGAAGAAATACTTTCCAGAAAAAAATTAATAGTAATATTATTCATCTTGTTTCAATAGCATATACATCTAAATAACAAGCTTATTTGGGATTCAAAACTCCTCTGGGGGCCCTAATACGTTTTGGAAGGATCCCCCTTCTTCTGGTAATTGTTGGGCCATAACCTGGGGCTTACACTGTGGTACATGCGTATGAAATTGTGCCTGCCTAACCTGAATGCAGCCTGTTGTGCATGCTCAGCAGCTGTGTGAATGCTTACACTTGTGGATGAAACAGATGGTGGATAACCAGGTCAGCAGCCCTGGCCACTGTTTTTGCGGGAAAGCAAAAAAGCAGCCATTGCCACAAAAGTGCTGTCCTGGCCACACCACGTCTGCCCTTAATGTGAAGCTGCTTGGCTATGCCTCTGGAAGTAGGAACACAAATTGTGCATAAGTACCAAAAATGGTAGTTTCACAGCTTGGTAACTGTATCTGAGCACAGAAAGTGAAATACAGTTCTGCCCTAGGTCTTTTTCTACTTAAGTCGTCTAAAGGCTATCATCTAGTAGGTGTTCTCTGATAACACTTACTACACAGTGACATACCCAGGCTTTGGCCAAAATACAGTTATGGTTGCCAGTTTCTTTTAGAAGAAATCAGATTAAGGAGGAGATGTCTCCCTTTTATGTAACTACAGGTGTGTCTACATGTTCATTAATGTGCATTTGGTAGCGCACATTAGATTCAGTACTTCCACTGAGGTGCTAGTAAAAGGCGAATTATCCTATTTCAGTGCACATTAGTGAAAGAGCATGTTGGTTGTGACACTTTAATGCCCATTAAAATAGGCTAATGTGCACTAAAGCCTATGTGTAGATGCACCTACTGATGATCAGTGCACTCTCCAAAGAATTAAGAGAACCTGGTCCAATTTCCCACTAAGGCGAAGCAGGATTCAGTTGACAACTCCTACTTCCCAAGAAACTTCTGTAACAACCACACTGTGTGCCAGGAATGGAGACACTAAGTTAGCATGATGATCTAGTTGCTAGAGTAGCCATATGCTGGGACAAAATCAGAGGGAGGGAATTTAGGTTTCATTTGCTGCTCCACAGAGAATTTCTGTATCTTATATTAAATAATAATTGGATAAAATAGTTTAAACTTCCTTTTTGGCTGGTTTGAAAGAACAGATATTGACATATGCTCAGACAAGGGTTCCCACAAGCAGGAACATGTATTTCCCCAGAGACAAGTAGCAGCGGCATGGTGCTTTACTGTAACTCTCAAGTACAGTATTTAAAGCACGGTGCAAATAGATGTAACTCTCAAGTATTTATTTTATTTTGTTGAGAATAAATAACTAGACCATTGCCTGCCACTGTGAGAGATAGGATACTGGGCTATCTGTGATGTGACTCACTGTAGCAGATGAGCTCAGACATACAGTATGTGGTGCCACAAACCCATCTGCAGCATCACAGATGCACGTGCAGGCATTCCCAATGTTTCTACTTTGCAGTGCAGGGGGGTTTTTTACCCCGGGAGGTCCCAAGGTAAAAAAAACCCATGCCTAAAAAAAGCAGGACAGCACATGTGGCAGCAGCATGAGCCGCCCAAAACTAGAGTGTGGTGGGTCAAAGCCATGCTCCAGCTTTCCCTAGGACCCCACGTAAAGCTGCTGCATATTTGCTGGTCCCAGCCTCTCCTAACCCGCCCAGGGTAACCTGCTATGTGGCAGAGCATGTGTGGCATGAGTCTTTCCTGGGGACAGGTTGCAACAGCACATTTTGGCATCATGTGTGCTGCCTTACTTTTTTTAGGCATGGGTTTTTTTGACCCTGGGGCTTCCCAAGGTCAGCCCTCCTTTCTCCCGCCTGCTGCACTGCAGTGTGGGGAACACCTGCATGTGCATGAGTGATGCTGCAGATGGGTCTGCAGCACCACATGCCACACATCTGCACTCATCTAGACATTCCCTAGGGGATCAGGCATCTTTTTAAGAACATAAAAAATGCCATAGTGAGTCAGACCACAGATACTTCTAGCCCAGTATTCTGTCTATCATTGTGGCAGAGAGTGGTTTAGTCATTTATTCTCAACACAATAAAATAAATATTTGAGAGTTACAATTCTTTGTGCAATAAGTAAAGCTCTGAAACAAAACTTCAACTTAATGTCTCATCTCAACCACTCCTAAGTCCAAAGTATTATCAACATTTCAGGCTAAGCAGAGCCCCTTCTGCTTTCTATTTTTCCAATAGGTTCTTCTTATATGTTGTAGTGGATAGCTTCTCTCACAGAAGAGAGAGCTGAGAAAGGATCTGTGGCAGTTATAACTTGTCTATATCCTTCCCAACTATACAGTTGGTCCAATAAAAGATTATCACCCACAAAAAATCTTGCTTCTTACATTTCTTCTGGGATCATTACAGCTACAATATCATCCCAACACTAACCCACTTTAAATACAGTCTCTGTCCTTCAGTCCGTATATTTCATTGTCATCACTTTCTCTTCCCCTGTCTGAGAATTTGCCAGCAATTAAGAGACAATCAAAGTTGGTGGCCCCTGAAAGGAGCAGATCTAGAGGGGATACAATAGTGCAGCCACACTATCTTGCTGACCACAAGCCAGGAGCAGTATCTGAGGACTTTTTTCAAGTCCTTAATGGAGATAAGAATCCCCCCTCCCCTTTCCCTCTGTGTTCAGAGGCATGCTCCCTTCCCTTCCTTTCCCCCATTGCCCCCCCCCCCTCCTGCCGGTGGGCAGGTTTACTTTCTCTATCTGGTCATTCCCAGGTAGTCCCTACCAGCTCAGGAGCAGGTGTGGGGAGGAGGAACCTTATCTCCACTACCACTGTCCCAGGCTGAGCCCAAGCCCCATAAAACCATCTGGAGCAGGACAGGAGCTTCCCTTACATCCTGGGACAGTAAAGAAAATGGCAGCAGCAGGTGAGGGAGGTGGGGAAGAAGGAGGGGAGATGATGTGCTACTGAACAGGGAGGGAATCCTTGCCTGTTTTGGACATTCAAAGGGCACAACCACATGTGTCTAGACTTGATCAGCCGCTATGTTACCACAGCGGCATGCTCACCCATTTTAGCATGCCGCTACAGTGACATAGCAAAGAAATCTAACCATGTGTCAGACGCATGGTTGAGTAGGGGCAGTTACTGCACCATGCTTTAGTACTTTCAAAAGGAAGTACTAAAGCACAGTGCCATAGCAACATCACCATATAGTGACGTGTAGACCAGCTCAAAGAATCACTGGGCACTGCTCCTATGATGCAGTCTGCCCACCCCAGTTTAGGTGGGGGAGAAAGCTGAGAGTGGGGGTCACAGCCACCCATGCTGTTCCCACATCTTCCTTTGTAAAATTCTAGATCTGCTTCTGGACCCTGATTATCAGGGATCCTGGTTTTCTCTGACTTAAAAAATCTCCAATTTTCAATTTTAAGAAAGTAACTCAAAATCCACATTTTAATCATGGGAAAATGTGGATTTGGGATTACTTTTTTAAATGCGAAAATTGGGATTTTTTTTTTTTTTTTGTCAGAGGAAACCTTGCTTCCTGCTGATTATTGACCAAGGGAAGAGAATTCTACTCCATGGGAGGTTCTGAAGTTACAGTTGGTATTTTTCCTTCTCTACCAAACAAAAACAAAACATTTTCAATGCTTTTGTGAAAACAGAATTATGGTGAAATATCTGTTTTCGAATAAAAACCTTGTAGATTTCTATTTGGAAAGAGATATCGCAATGAGACAAAGCTCTAGTCTACATTGCAGCTCCAACTGTACTGGCAAAATGTTGAGTCCATACATTCAAATCCTCTGCTCACTGAATTACTCTACCTCGAGTGGTATAAGGCTTCTACCACTGTCTGGCAACTGACTGAAAGTGCATGAAGACATCTGTTGCGGTCCATTCAGCAGGTGGTGCTTCATAAAGTGCATTCTGTTACAGAGCCATACAAAGCAGCCAAAAATGCCTAGGCACTGCCAGAACATCTGGTAGTAAAGCAGTCTGCTGTAAACTTCTCCAGAGTGTGCATAGCCTGGTGAACAGGGCATTAGATTGGGATGTGGGTCAAGTAGCTTTTCTATATAATTCTGAGAGGATCTTTTCATCTCAAATAATTGATTCCAGCTGAATGTGTCTGCTTCATCAGAGGCCAGTGCCTTAACTATTAGGTTACATCTTCAGAATTAACCTCGGGCAGCTTTAGAGTTTAGCTGGGACAGTTTCCTCCCCCTCAAAAAATCATTTGGCCAAAATCATTCTCAAAGCACACGTTTTGGCTTGGATAACATTTCTTGCTCTGATCTTGAAAGTTTCTTATAGATTGTCTCATTCTTGAAGATTTAAGAACCTTTTTGGGGACAGGACACCTATTTGTGTTACAATCTAGTAACATAATCTGGGCAACACATGACACAACACGGATGCCTGAATCTGAAACAGAGCTCGCAGCCTAAGCCAGGGATATCCTACGCTATCACAACTTGCATAACAGTAACATCTACTGAATCAATGTCCTTTTATTTCACATCTTTCTGAATTAGTCTGAGCTATGTCTGCAGCTTCTAATGATGTATAAATTACCTCTGAAATAAAAAAAATTTAATGGGAATGTGTAGGGATTGTACAGCACAAATCAAAGGAAGACAATCAGGATCAAGCTTCCACTGTGCTTTGAAGGTGAATATCTGACAGAATCCCTTCACAAAGTAATGCAAATAAAAACATAGAGGAACTGAAGAGCATTGTTTTAAAATGAAAGGAGAAAGAGGTGAAGAATTTAGCTCCTAGAGAAACTAGAAACTAGTAGTTGAATCATAAAGGACATAGATTATTATATTCCCAGTATTTTAAAACAGAAACTTTAAGTATGACAGCATTCCATATGCTAATAATTAGTGGCTTTCTTTCAGACTAAAGACCATATATGAAAGATTTTGCTACATGCAATTACTGCTGTCTTTGAAATTTCACATGCAGAATATTTGTAAAGCATTGTGGGGAAACCAGACCTTTATCCACATAAACTACAATTTTACTGCCACTAATTTTTTCTTAATTATATAGAGGGAAAAATAATAAGGAAATTTCATGTAACCCACAATTCATACACAGGTACCAACTCATTAAATAGAGCTCAGTGCAAAATTAGACTTGATTAGATCTTGCTAGAAATATGGAATTACATGTGTTGTTATTTTAAATGCTCAACCCAAGAAACAGATAAATAAATACATATATCTAAATGATATTGTGACACAAAATTGACTTTCATCTGTCAAATATTCATTTTTAAATTTTTTTTGATAATTTCTGGCTATACAATACCATTAAAATATTAAATCTAACACATTTTTAGGAGCATGGTTGAGGTTATGAAGTTCATTTTATGGTTGCATTTAGCCGTGGGTAGAAAAGAATGTAACTCCAAGGAAGCCAACGAAGCTATCCTAATATTCCCCAGTTAGAGTTCTGAGCTAGAGCATAGTATTAGATAATGAGATTTCTGGATTATTGAGTCTAGTCTCCTGTGATTTCTGAAGCTACATCATATAATTCTTTATATAAACAACTTCCACATCTCTGATTTCTATAATGATTAGGAATCTGCTTCTGATTTCCAGTGTAAATTTATTTATTATCAGTGTATACACAATTCAGGATTGTCATCCATCCATAAATTTAGGGGCAATCCATAAAAAAATAGGGAAAAATGCTTCTCTTTAAACTTCATTAAAAAGCTAGAGACAACCATAAAATGAAACAACAATGATCTTAATAGAAAGATAGAACATAGATGTGCCACCTCCTGTCTTAGAGGAAGTGCAGCACACTGAAAAGACCTCTTGTTGCTCAAGGGAGCCTGAACAGCCCCCTGCCCCCTACCCAGCCATGCACTGCTCTAACATCTCTTTGGCCATTCTCCTGCCTCTAACAGCTGCTCACCTGAAGGCATAGGCAGCCGGGTAGTGTGGCCAGGACAGAGCTCCAGGCTGGGAGGAGGAAAGGCAGTGTGCAGGGGGTCCATTCTGGGATGCGAGGAGTTGGGACAGCAGAGGTAAGGCTGAGGAGTCAGCTGAGGTGGAGGCAGTCCTGTATGGGATGAGGTTGGGTGCATCAGGGCGTGGAGGTGAGAAGGGGACTCCTGGGGTGGGGCAGAATGGTGTAAAACCATAGCTTCTGTCAAGCAGTATTGTCAACCCAAGATTTCTTTTTTACTTACAATCTGCTAACATTTTAAATCAATGAAAATGTTTACCCTGGTTGGTATTAAAACCCTAAATTTGAACCCCACCCCCATCACTGCCATCCAGGCTTGGCAGAAGGGTTACATTTACTGACATACATAAAATATGTCAGTAAAAACATATAAAAAAGTATTTTTGTCAGTAAAAAATTTGCAAAGTGTCAGTACAAAAAAATGGGGGCGGGGGTCCTGACACCCATATTCTTGTCTTAGCACTTATTCTTCCCTGCCAATTCTCCCTTCCTCTCCCCATTATATTTATAGAGAGCAAGACCCCTTCTCAATATTTGTCATCCCAGTGTAAATAAGCCATCTTCTTTTAATCTTCTTTTATGTAACTGGCTTTCCATTCCTTTCTCTGCACCTATAGTAGTCTAAATTCACCTTTCTTGAACAAGAATGACAAGAATATTGCATAGTATTTCACAAGTTATTGTTGCCAGTATCTTGTCATCAATATTTCCTTATTTCTATTGGAATTTTTCCTCCAGATATATCCTAGGATCACATTTGGCTTTTTCATGGCTTCCTTACATTGACAGGTCATAGAAGAAAGGACAAAAATTAAGAAAGTGTATTCTGAAACTAAGAGCACTTGTACATGTGATGCCTGCTGAAGGTAGAAGTGGCAAGGGGCCAGATCCCTTTTTTCTTGTTTTTGGCAGAGCCTGCCCGCCTCTCCTACAGCCAAGGGGAAAGTTGCCAGGAGACCAAGTGGTCCCTGACCTGCAGGGGGCACTGGTCCTTTCTTCTATGGCACTGGTGACCCCTGGGACTGCCTGGGTGGGCTGCTAGCAGGCTGGATGCTGCCTCAGCTAAGAGTCAGGGAAAAATTAGATTGAGCTGGGTGCTGCCTCTAAGCTGGGGCAGCACTCATTCCACTACCAGCCTGCCCAGGTGAACCTGGGAGGTGCCGCCACCACAAAGAGAAGGACCAGGGTCCCTCACAGTTCAGGCGCCACTCGGCCTGCTGGTAGCTTGCTCCTTGGCTGCAGACGAGCTCTCCCAAAAAGAAAAAACAAAAAGGATTGGTTCCCTCACCATAACAGTGTTGGAAATCCCTACATTGAAATAGCGGGTTTCAATTAAAAATCTACTGTTTCAATTTAGGGGGCACAGAATGCAAAGCTAAGTACTAAACCACCCTCATGTGTACAAGTGTCCTGAGTAGAGATATGAGAAATATATTGTTCTGATAATTTCCTCTATCTCCAGCTTCTTTGAGTAACCTCACCATTCCATTGCTGCTATATTTCAATTAATTTTCCATTTTGTAGGTCGAGGCAGTTAACATGTTACAGATTGTAACATCAGTTTAACTAGAAATTGAGGCCTTTTAGGGATTCTTGTCTTAGCACTTCTTCTTCCCTGGCATTTCTCCCTGGGAAGGAATGCCAGGGAAGGCAGAAGCAGCAAGGGGCCCGATCCTTTTATTCTGCAGAGTCTGCCCGCCTCTCCTGCAGCCAGGGGTGAGATGACTAATAGCTCCAACACATTTGCAAAACAATAACAGAAATCCCTAAATTGAAATGGTGGGTTTCAATTAAAAACTCATTGTTTCAGTTTAGGGGGCATAGAATGCAGAGCTAAGAACTAAACCCACCTCATATGTACAAGTGTCCTGAGTAGAGATACATTAAATATATTGTTCTGATAATTTCCTTTATCTCCAGCTTCTTTGAGTAACCTCACCATTTCATTGCTGTTGTGATTCAGTTAATTTTCTATTTAGTAGGTCAAGGCAATCAACGTGTTACAGAATGGAACTTCAGTTTAACTATAAATCCAGGCCTTTTAGGGATCCTTTAGATTAATTTTTGGGCCTTACCATTATCAATGCAGTGACATGATCAAAGATGTTTTATATTTAGGATGCATAACTTGCCATCCTTGATTCCCACTTCCGACTCCATGCTGTCTGTCTGTGATTCTATTCTGGGATGAGATCCTAATGCACATCCACATAGGATTCACTTTTGATGAATAATTAGAAATAGGATGCATCAGTTTAACTTCACATCTCTGAAGTGAATGACCACTAGTTCTAAAAAAGCTTTGGGTACATAAGTTCTGCCAAACTACCACTCTAATTATATCAAAATGTAGATTCCAAGACTGATACTTGGAAGCTAACTAAACCTGGCTGGCATGTAAGTTTTCACCAGTGAAATTCCCTAGGTACCCAAAGGTCTGCCTTGGGGTGGCACCAATCAGATAGACACCTGTCCCATGCCTAAACCCCCTTAGGATCTAGATACTAGGAATTCCTCCTTCTGCAGAGCACAATATGATAGGTGTTCCCAGACCAAACCCACCAGATCAGGACCCACACCCAATAGGAGAGATGGTACCCTCCCTTTTATCCACCAACCTACTTAAAGGAGTTATTAGGGAGGTGGTAGACCACAGATCAGTTCTTCCTTCTACTTAAGGGAGCCACTAGAGAAGTGGGAGATGCAAATTCATGCCTCTCAAGCACATAAGGAATTTAAACTTTTGTCTTCTTACGTCCTGCATGTGTACTCTGATATTAGGTTACTAGATGAAGGGGGGGAGGGTTGGACATAGTGGGTGTGTCCACACACAGTCATTTAATGCAGATTAGCTGAATTTAAGGTGCATTAGAGGTGCATGTCTACATGTGTGCACCCTTAATGCAGCTTAAAAATGGCAAGTTTAGGCTATGTGAGCCTAAATTTATACCTGCCCAAACCATGTATCAAATTTAAGCAGCATTAGTTCATGCAGATTAATGCACATATAGATGTATTAATTCAGAGACTTCATTCCTAGATCTGCTCAGCCACTAGAGGGCCACCTGGAGCCCAGGCCCAGGACTCCTGGCTGGCTGCCTCTCCTCCTCCATGCCTGGGCTGCTCTTTGACAGCCCT